AGTAAAGTGATTATATATGCATATGTACATTGTATTTTTGGGTTATTAAATTGCGGGGGAGGGTGGGTGGGGCCGGGGGGAGGAGGGGCCCGAAGGTATTTGCTGCCCCAGGGCCCGACCTGGCTCTCGACGGCCCTGCACTTGTCAGGGCCAACCTGGTTGAGAGTGACTCAACGTCCCAGCAGAAAGACCGAGATACTCGATGAACATTTTTTCCCTCATTTGAATCGAGCTCAGGCCTTCTGCTTGCGACGGCGGAGCACTTAACCATTGCGCCACAGACGCTGCTCAACTCGATTATGACACTGAGGGTTGAACTAGGTCTGAGAAGAGTCCACCCAGATTGAAGAAGTGTATTGCAAGGGGATTTTGAGATGAGGAATCATGGCTACCTTTTGCTTGTGTCGTTGAGATGGAGTTGTTTAATCTCGTGCCGTTGGTGACTACGGGCTGTGCTCTATTGTCTCTTTGTTGAAAATCATGGGGTGATCAGATTTAGAGATGTTGAGTCGTTTCGCGCTAATCCACGCCAAAGGGAGGGAGGTCAACCAGCTCAGACATTCTATTACTCTGGTAAGCTCCCCCGTAGCTCCATAGGGTGCATAGAAACAAGAAATGGTTATGCGGAATCGAGAAGAAGAGGTAATCTGAGTTTAGCTCTGAACGCGGCAAACATGGAGTTGCTTGGCAAAAGATGATTCCAGCGGATACTGAGGGTTTTTGTTTTGTTTTGTTTGTTTGTTTAACCGATCGAGCATCTTGTCCAGCTGCTCACACTCCGGGGAACTCACTCTGATCTAGAATCTCTTACCGACATCTCTCCGGTGGTAGTTGTAACTGTCGCTGTTTTATACCGTCAAAGACACAAGTTAGATCATTTATGAGGCTGGCTGCTTCGACTCTGCCCGACAGGAGATACAGTAGCCTACTTAATAAAAACTTTCACGCGTTGGAATCGAATTAAAATCTCCTGCATGCGACGGAGAAGCGTCGAACGGGTACACCCCAGTCACTGTTTCACCTACCCTCTATACAGGTTACTATCTATTTAGGCCCCATCTATCCACTCTATTTATTGCTCACCAGCTTGTAACGTTCATCTCTAAAATAAAAGAAAGCAATGTTGCTCAGATAGCAAAGATAGATCTAACTATGTTTTAATGTAATGAATTTGTTTTATGGTGATTTTCATTTCAGCTGCACGTGAAACCTGGTGTTTTGTCTGTGAAGAAGTTGAAGATTGGTGGAAAGCTTGTGGTTGGTACAACTCATCGACGTATTCCCTTTGGAGTGGGTCTTCACAGAGTCTTTGAACGTGAGTTTCGCTGTTCGTATCTGCTGTTCATATCATCATCTCTTCTATCATATCCACCACCACTACCACCATAACCACCACCATCATTTTCTTCCCCCCCCCTTTCCCCCTCCTCCTCTCCTCCTCCTCGTTGTCCTCATCATCATCCTCCTCTTCCTCCTCCTCCTCATTATCATCGTAATGATAATTTTTTTCATGCCTTCCACGCCACATTGTTTAAATTTGTGATTTTACCCTGGTTTTATTACTTTTGCATGTGTCGGAGAGAAGAGAGAGAGAGAGAGAGAGAGAGAGAGAGAGAGAGAGAGAGAGAGAGAGAGAGAGAGAGAGAGAGAGAGAGAGAGAAGAGAGAGAGAGAGGGAGAGAGAGGGGGGAGGCGGAAGAGAGAGAGGTGGAAGAGGGAGAGACTAGGTGAAAGTGAGTGAGAGAGGGAGCGAGTAAAATAGTAATATATATATATATATATATATATATATATATATATATATATATATATATATATATATATATATATATATATATATATATATAGAGAGAGAGAGAGAGAGAGAGAGAGGAAGGGGAGGTAGGGCGGGTAATCCGTCTTCCGCTGTCTCACCGACTTGTGCGACCACTCCATCGTTAGTGAAGTCACAGTGAGATGGTACTCAAATACCCAACCGTTCTGGAGGAAGAGTAACATTTCGACTGATCCGTGTAAGATTCTGTCCTACGTCATTTTGAACAGTGACGTAAGACAGTCTTACACTGAGCAGTGCATCTGTTCTGAAGACTTCAATGTCCTCTGCCTAACTTAATTTCCTAGACCACCATAAACCCCACGTCATGGAGCCTGACTAGTGGCTTGTGGGTGTCAAGTAAGGGGTTACAAAAATAAACAAAGAGACAAACGAACAAACGATCAATAAAACAAACAAGTAAACAAACAAACAAACTAAAATCTAGTAAATGTCCTCGAGATAGACCCGCTGTCAATGTCTGTATTATCACCAGTGTTCAAAGACAAATTTATCTACAATTTTGTTTTGATTGATGCGCCTAGTTGAAGTATGTTGTCGGAAGTCCCACACCTTTACACACACCTCTCACCAATATTTGACATCGAAACTCTCTGCCCCCTCCCCCCCCCCCAACTTCCCCAAATCTCCCCAGATCATAATTTTTCAGTATAGCCCATTCTCTTTTATAAAACCACGAACAGAATAAGAAGGAACAACGTGACAAGTCAGTGTTAACAGTATTGCTAAAATTGGATCCTGGTTATTTGTTTTTTTTCCAGCCCCACCCTCATACGATGATATCCCTCCCAGTTATGAAGAGGCAATGCGGAACAGGGTGAACGCAGTTCCGGAGACTATCAGTGCCTGCCAAAGTACGCCTGCACCACAGAGTACAACAAACACTGCGGCTACTCGACAAAGTCGAATCCCGTCGATGTTACCTGAAACTCCAGTAGGACAGTACCGCAGCAACAGCTTACGGATATCTGTTCTCAAAAGGAATTTGTTGAACCGCAGCCTGTCAGTGCCTCCATCCTTATCTTCATCAAAGAGCAACGAAGCCGTACCTCACGAAATGAGAAACTTATTGTGTCGCAATTGAAGCCATGATTACTCCACCCTCCCTCCCTCTCTCCCTTTCCCTCTTCCCTCCCCCCTGTCTGTCAGTATCATTCTCTCCCTCTCTCACTCTCTCCTGTTTCTGTCCTCTCTCCTTCTCTTTTTTTCTTATCATCACCGTGATAACTTCTTGTAAATGTATAAAGCTAACTTTCCAAATAATTGTTCGTTCCACAAGCTACTACTCCACAAGTATTGGAACGGAATCCATTGCCGAGATAGCCAGAAAGCCCTACGCAGGTTTCCTTGTCTTTTTGTTTTGCCATGTCATTTCTTGTCTTTCCGGCCGTGGATCTGTCTCGAATTTAAGCGGGGCATATTAATTTCATATGTGCCGAGCTGAAGCTCAAACCCCCGAGCCCGCAATCTCACGATTAGGGGTCGGTAGCCTAACCACTCGGCTACCGACGCCCCAAATAAAATACAATAATAATAACGATAATACTTGAAATAATACTAACAACGACAACAACAATGATAATAATGCTACTGGTAATTATAATAATGGTATTGAAAATAACAATATGACAATTGTATAAGGTTGACACTGCCTAACCACTAAGCTACTGATGCCCCTTATTTATTGGATGAGCGATTTGCCCGACCGTACCGTACATGCAGCGTTCCTTTAAAAAAAAATACTGGGATGATTAATTTGTTAAGCAATAGCATCTACAGGGAATTTAACGGTTAAGGACATGATCGGAAGTTAATACCGATGAATGTTCAACTACGAGTATAATAATATTTCGAATTTTGTGCCCGCCTTGAAAGACTAAGCTTACACCATGTGTAACAAGTTGCCTAGGCGAATTGTTACTAACTGAACTTTCCAATGCCATTTACAATTATTTACCTTTCCATTTCTACAATGACGCTCATTGGGTGTCCAGCCTTGCCCGCTCCAATATTTTCTTATGGTTTGGATGATCGTCAACTCATACGATAACACGGAGAAAGCAAACCGATGCGTTACTTAAAGCCATAAAGTGTATAGTTTTCTGCGTACGCAGATGTCTTCTACATTTTGTGTAAACTATATTATAATAATTTTGTTGTAAATACATTCTGGCTAGATATCGAAATCCTTGACCATACAGTATTCAAATGAAATTTTATTCTGTGTCCTTTGACGTGTTTATTTCTTCCAAGAGTACCAGTACTGGAACATTTTAAAAAGTCAACACGAGTTTTTCTTGACATTCTTTTACTGGTTTCGGTGACGAATATCAAGCTCGGCTTTTAATACTAAAATAGAAATTATACTTAAAAACACAGTCAATGGGGCTTGTTATACTAAATGTCCTTTATGCGACATTGGATTATTGGCCTTTGAGTTTTGAATTCCAGTCACGGTACTGTTTGTCTGCAGCCGTCACAATTACACGTTTGAGCTTGAGAGAAGCGTTTCCTGGAGTCATTCTTGCACGAAGGTAAAATGCTTTTGGAATGCATCTTTGAAATCCGAATATTGGTAGTCCTACTGTTATTTAATTGTCCAAAACTGCTGACTATTTTTTTGTATACATATTGTCATCATTTGTCTTGCTACTTAATTTACACTAATCCGTGCAATATTTCATGCAATATTGTTATGTTATATCCTGCTGATGAAGTGGTCGGATGAAATCAGCATGAGTAACAAGTTTGATGCGATAAAAAGTATGTACTTATCATGCCCAAAAAAGAAAAAAAAACCCACGAACAAAACAATGGAAATCACAAGGTCAGATTCTATATTCAATCGTACCCCAACCCCTCCCCCCCCCCCCCACACACACACAAGATGAGCAAACACAATAGGACCTACCCATACTCGTGCTGAAATCAAATTTTCTTTCAAAATTTTAAATCATTTTACCGGCACAGTTTATCCCCCTAAAGTTGACAGATTAATAAGGCTTTGCTCGCCACTACTCAATAACTTTTTTTAGAGCCGCCTACCTCTAGCGTTTGTTAAATTTTAAGATACTTGTGGAAAAGGCTCATTTCAAAGACAGGCACATGGCTTTCTACTCTGAGCCATGAAGCTGGAGCTGAATGAGAGCAGCTTTGCTTTGTACTTTTGCTGTGTGAGGTATATGTGGCTAGATTCATGTCAGATCCCATTCAAATCTAAACATTTTTCTATGTGTTACTATTGAGCACCCATGTATGCATTTGTAATTTAAATGGTATTGTGAAACTATCTCACCAGGCTTTGTTGAAAAATGCCGGTTTTTTTGTTTGTATATAGTTTATTAAACTTGTTATTTTTGCGTACAGGTCTGATCAGTGTTGACCTCTGTTTCATTGTGGTATACGTTTTCCCCCGTGACGATATTGGTGCACATATTATACAATTTGCATGACAATGCTGGCAGTTGTACGCTATGCTGGATTTATGATGGATTAGAATTTGCTGAGTTGATTCCTGACACTGCTGAAACTGGGGGTGTATGATATTAATTTAGTGCTCCTCTCCACATTATTATTAGCATTTAGATGTGGCTCCCTTTGACAGAAAAGAAACTTCGCTTGCACACACACACACACACACACACACACACACACACACACACACACACACACACACACACGCACACACACGCCCACGCACGCGCACACATACGCACACTTACACATGCACACACATACGCACACGAACATACACACCCATATACACATACAAACACGCTCACAGAGACAGAGAGAGAAAGGGAGAGAGAGAATGAGAGAGAGAGAGAGAGAGAGAGAGAGAGAGAGAGAGAGAGAGAGAGAGAGAGAGAGAGATATTCACACACACACACACGCGCGCTGTGTAAGACGGCCACCCATTGTCAAGGAGAAAAATGGCCGTATTTGGCAGGACTGATCAAGATGAAGAAAACAAACCATTCCCATCTGAGGTCCCAATCGAAAGTAGCCGCATTGTTGTTGTTTTTGTTGTTGTTGTTGTTGGTTTGTATTTTGTTTGTAATCTTTATTTTGTTGCTGATTTTGCACAAGGACGACAATAAAACAAAATGTATCAGACGAGGAAGACCGAATGCCATGTTAAAACAAACACATGGGTCGCCACCACTCGGAGAACGAGCGACGCTTCTGTCACAAGTTCATGTTGACGTCCATTGTTACTTTGTTACAGACTGGGTAAACAATGACCACTCATCTCACTTACGATTTGTGTGTGAGTTCTTGGCGGGGCTTAAGGGTTATGAGGGATCACACGCTTACCTCACCAGCAGCAGAAAATTGGTACCTATGGTCAACAGTGGGAGGGGCCTACGCAACATGATCGGTTGGAGGGACTACCTAACAACAATGACAGGTAATTGAATTATGACGGCTCGCCCACAACGCCAGGGGCCAATGCACAATTTATGACAAACGTAATGGAGTCACCAACAGGTGTTATTGCTTTATGTGATAGGGGTTGTGTGTTAAATTTTGGTGGCCGCGGCCGCGCTGGACAGGTGCCCGTTTTACACAGTTAAATTATATAGAAAAAAGGCAAAGGGGAAAATAGCAAGTGGCCGTTTGTACAGGTGGCCGTCTTATAGAAGTGGCCGTCAGGGCAGGTTTTAACTGTATATATATATATATATATATATATATATATTATACACACACACACACACACACACACACACACACACACACATATATATATATATATATATATATATATATATATATATATATATATATATACCGTCTTGTCTGTAAAACTGACAAAATATAACATGCTACGGATGAAAGGTAATATGCTTTATTTGTGGTATTTCAATGCATTGCTGCATAAGGTAGAAGTGGAAGTCCACTTGAGCCCTATATTCGGACCTTACTTGACTTACTACGTACATCCGGGGTCTTAACTCTCTGTGGGACCATAATGTGGCTCGCCGTGACGACATACTCGTATGAAATTTTTAACTTATTTTAAGAAGGAAGATTGGGGAGGGGGGGGGGGGGAGCTCAAGTAGACTTTTACCACCATATAATACAAAAAATGAGACAGACTGAGCAGAAAATGATATTATACACATCAACTGTTAAATAATAATGTGTAGGAAAAGAACTTATTTTGAGTGAATATTATTGGTACACAGTATTAACACAGCTGAAAGTAGAGCAGAGGGCAGAAACGGCAACAATGGAATAAAAATAAAGTGGAGACGCACTTCTGCAAATTGAATGATATCTGTGCTGTGAAAAGACATCTTATACTAGTAACAGAAACGAAAGAAAAAATGTCCAAACCTCGGAGCCAATAAAATTAAAATCGAGAGGAGAAAAAAAATTGAACGATGTCATGAGCATTAATAAACGGGACAATAGAACGATAACAGGCAGAAAGAGAGCACGGATGAGAAGGGCAAGGAGTGGGGGGAATAGGGAAAGGAAGAAACGGAGGAGAAGGAGAAGGAAGAAGAGAGTGCTTGTGGTTGTTGGGCACCTCCATTCGCATCTTTCAGATTACTCAGAAAGTGTTCATCTTTCGTCTCTCATACCTAATACCAAACCCAATACCAAAGATTAAGATAACGGCTATAACGTTTTCTCCTAAATGGGTGTGATACTCATTCATATTTTACAAGAAAGGCAACTGTGCCTATCCATAACTATACAGATATTGCCAAAAAAGGGAAATACTGAAAGTTGGGGAAAACAGCAGCTAAGTGAGGAAGCTATGAAATGGAGAGGGTGGGTAGGGAGATGGGACGTAAACGAAGGGAAGGAAGGGGAAATATGTAAAAAAAACGTGGCAGATAATCTTTGTGATTGCAAATTTTTACGATCCCAAAGACAAAAAAATATGTTAAAATACCTCCCCCTCCCCCTTTCCCTCCCCGCCCTCTTAATGCGTAAGTCAAACGCACGTTTTTTCTGTGTAGAGCGAACAGCGTAACGATCACTCCACAGACGCCGCGGAAATGAGGAGGAGGAGGAGAAGGAGGAGGAGGAGGGTGCATGATATCTGTTATACTTTGATTTTTTTTCTCCATTTTCCATCAAACCTCTTTTCCTGTGAAGCTTACTTTCAAATTCAAAGACTTTATAGACCATTAAAAAATGAATACACAGTGAGAATAAGTCACAGAATATTCATCTAAATCTGAACGACTGGAAGAGAACACAGACACCCTCAGTATTCGTTGACAAAGCCTTTCCAAATGTTTGAAACAATTAAGATTTGTTTTTATCTTATCATCAAAGACCGAGCTTAACTCATGAGCCTTTCGAAGGCGGAGCGTGTGGTACCTCTCTGATCCAAGAGCTTCGAAGAAATATCCTGGAACAACGCGAAATATTCGGAAAGCAGTCGAGTTTGAATCTCGTGTGATCCGAGCGCCGACTACTATCGTAACTCATCGCAACGAGGCAGGCTACAGAGCATCTCTCATTACTACAGCCAAAAATACTAGTACAAAAATGTTGTTTATAGATATTTATATGTATAGAACAAACCAGACCGACAACTCTCAAATACAATACAATCTATCCAACACCTTGGTCAAGTTCAACTTTGTACTGCAGGTCAAACAAATTTCAACATTATCAATATTCTAGAAAACAAAAATACGCCTCAGTATAAAGACTGCTTACTGATTTACTACTGTCTCTTTCAAGATTACAGTCCAAACCTCATTAATAATCTTTGTGATTATTTGTGATCGAATAGTGATCTGAAACAATGACCTTGTACCAGCAGGCAAGAAAAGCGCCTCGACATTTTCCATCTCAGATGCTGCGGCAAGATCTTACACATTTCGTGGCGTGACAAGGTGACAAATGTTGAAGTGTTGGCACAGGCAAACCTCCAGAGCATTACAACTATCCTGTGTTAAAAAAGATAGAGATGGCTGGGCCATGTCGAGAGAACGTACGACAACCGGAGTCCGAAGCAACATCTCTCTGGAGAACATGCCCAGGAAAAGAGACCAAGATGAAGACCAAAATTGAGGTACAAATACACCTGCAAAAAACAGCTTATCTAAACTTGGAGTAGATGTTAGCATCTGGGAAGAAATAGCTGACGACAGTAAAACAAGGAGGAAAATGATAAAGGAAAGAACCATAATGCTAGAGAGCAGTCTTAGAAACAACCTGGCTGAAAAGCGCCAACGACGAAAGGAAAGCAGCGGAAATACAGAGCTTCGATCCACGTCACTGACATGCAAGCAGTGCGACAGAATCTGCGCTTCAAACATAGAAACAATTAGCCATGAACAAGCTGCATGAAGACAACCTTGAGACCATCTTAAGCTAAATTGACCGTCTACGTAGGCGAAAAGAGCTATACAAAAACCACAACAACAACAACAACAACAACAATAATAATAATAATAATAATAATAATAATAATAATAATAATAATAATAATAATAAAAATAACAATGATAATAATAACAACAATAATAATAATGATGAAGATCAGATCATAATAATAATAATGATAATAATAAAAATGATAATAATAATTCAAAAAAAATTATTATAACAATAATCATAATCATAATCATAATAATACTCATGATAATAATAATAATTGTTATGATAATAATAATAATAATACTAATTTAAAAAAAAAAAAAAGAAGAAGAAGAAGAAGAAGAAGAAGAAGAAGAAGAAGAAGAAGAAGAAGAAGAAGAAGAAGAAGAAGAAGAAGAAGAAGAAGAAGAAGAAGAAGAAGAAGAAGAAGAAGAAGAAGAAGAAGAAGAAGAAGAAGAAGAAGAAGAAGAAGAAGAAGAAGAAAAAGAAGAAGAAGAAGAAGAAGAAGAAGAAGAAGAAGAAGAAGAAGAAGAAGAAGAAGAAGAAGAAGAAGAATGATCATAATAATTACACATTTCTTCAGCGAGGTACAAAAAATAACTGTTAAAATGACTTGTGGCTTCTGTTAAAGCCAATGACTCCAATTCTGGTAGACAAGAGTGTGTCACATTTTGAGCAGTTCATCTGTTGGCATAATAGTGTTCTGCGTCTTCTATCTGTACATTGTGTATTCTATTCAGAAAATGCCATACAAACAATCGCTCCTAGAAACTCATGGTGGGCATACGGCATTTTTGGATATGTTATTTGTTTGGTAGAAATACACATTTAGGCTTGCAAGAGCTGTAATGTCTTTTAATTAGGTCAAATGCCCTTATTTCGAATAGTGAGTTGACTATGATTATTTTACGTAACATCTATTGCTTTCTGTTCAGCTTGGAAATGAACTACACAGCATTCATTGACTGAAGTGTGTAATACTGCGCTTTGTTGGCCATGAGTTGAGCATGGGTGCCTGCCTCAGCCACTACACCCTGCTCAAAGACAATGATCTTGTCAGCATTCTGGATCGTGGACAGTCGGTGAGCGATGGTTACGCATGTGCGGCCTTGTCGGGCTTTATCCAGAGCTTCTTGGACGATCTGAGAATGTTAAAAGATAGCATTGGGACACCAGTGGACAAGATTTCAGGTTGAATGCGAATCTTTCTTACCCTGTAATATAATGTACAGTAAGATGCAACGCCAATACCCCTCGCCCCTTTTTCGCTTCGTGAGAGAGCCGGGAAAGAATCGATGCCCTCAAGGATATGAACCTCTTTCAACCCCACCTCCTCACACGGGTGTCCTATACGACAGGCTAACTGAAAGCAGTTTTCTTGCGTCTGAAACAGACCACAACGCACTCACAAAATCGAAAACAACTACGTGTGTATGTACTCAACCCGCCCGAGCATCAGCTATTACCCACTCACATGTCCAAAAGCATAGGTGAGCCCACTTGATTTTTCATGCTATCAAGTACATGTAATATACTTTGATATATAGAGGACATATTTTGAACCAGGATTATGAATGGAATCTTAGTAACAATAGGCTTATAAACTGGTATTTTTCCATGTCAAGAGAGGCATTACTATTAACGAAAGAGTATGCAGAAGCAAATCGTTTCACTAATTATGACGAACAAACATACGAAGGCACATACCCAAACTATTCAACTTAGATCTGAAAATCTTTATAGATCTTTGCGTAAAAGACACTACAAACATCTCTCGAAAATCACCTTTTCACTTTCTGTATCCAGGGCTGACGTGGCCTCGTCCAACAAAAGAATCTTGGGATTTCTGACAAGCGCCCTTGCTATCGCCACTCTCTGTTTCTGACCTCCACTGAGCTGAGTGCCTCGGCCTCCAACGTTTGTCTCATAACCCTGAGAAGAGTTAGAAAAAATATTAATAGCTCGTTTACACTCCCCCCACCCCCCTTAAAAAACCAAACAAACTGTCCTTCCAATTCAAATTAAAAACAAATATATTTTAAAAAATCAACTGTCTGCACAAATTAACTCTACGAGAAGAATAGAACCCCATTTGTGAGGCAACTCGCGAAGAAAAGGAACGTCTGCAACGTAAAGATAACGTGTTACACTTTGGTATTAAAATTTAGTTAGATCTATGTTCCAGCCCTAAATAAAATCAAAATGTTTCGTACCCATTCCATAGTGGAAACGTTGACTTTTTAAAATAGGGTTTTGGTGAATTCCTAGATCTAGCTTGTTCTTTTCACTTCGGAATCTAAAAATTCTGAGATCAAATGGTATGCAGGTTCTCTCTCTCTCTCTCTCTCTCTCTCTCTCTCTCTCTCTCTCTCTCTCTCTCTCTCTCCCTCTCTTTCCCTTTCTCTCCCTCTCTCCTCCTTCCTCCCTTCTCCCACTCTCCTTCTCTTTTCTCACCTCTCTCAGTCTTTCCCTCTCTCTCCCTCGTCTCCTTCTCCTTTCTCCACTCTCCCACTCTCTCTCTCTCTCTCTCTCTCTCTCTCCCTTCTGTCGCCTTCCCTTTCACTTTACTTATTCACTCCCTCCGTTCCCCCTTCTCCCCGTTTCTACGTTTCTTTCTGTGCTCTCTCTCTCTCTCTCTCTCTCTCTCTCTCTCTCTCTCTCTCTCCTTCTCTCTCTCTCTCTCTCTCTCTCTCTCTCTCTCTCTCTCTCTCTCTCTCTCCCCCCCTCTCTCTGTCACTCCTTTTATTTCTACAACCCATCAGGACCCCCCCCCCCCACCCCCCAACGCACACACACACATGCACACATGAGAGGAGGACCGGTGTCTGTGACAAACAAAAAGTGTGAGTATGGGGAAGATTTCTGAGTGGGAATTTATTTTATTGAGTATCTCCGCCTGTCTGTTACGATGTCGTGTTCCACACATCGTACTTTGGTCCCGACAGGTAGATGCAAAGCTGCCGCTCCTGTGAATGATATATCAGTTGTATCGATGGTGGCGGAAAATGCCTACGATCATAATATACAGTACTGAAGTGATGACAAAGCAACTCACCAGCGGGAGAGCCTCTATGAAGGAATGAACGTTGGCATTTTTAGCTGCCTGAATGATTTCTTCCATTCCCACTTTGCGAGTGTTGTCACCGTAGGCGATATTTTCTGCTATGCTCCGATCAAAAAGGGTAGGTTCCTGGAACACGATGCCGATCTGATTGCGAAGCCACTGGATGTTCAAGGCTTTAGAATCATGACCTCCGAGAATCTGTAAAGTGTATAATGCCAATGACAACCAGAAAAGTAAACGCTGTACTACTAAAGCAAGGACAAAAAGCAATAATGCAGACCCCGGTTTATGAACTGTGAGCATGTCCAATACACGCCTGTGGGGCAGCGGGTAAAGACATTGTATTTTGTTATCTAAAAGTAAAGAAGAACTCTTCCTTGGTTGTTGTTTGTTTGTTTTTTCTGTACAGTTCATAGAAGTTATTTTAGCCTCTAGAGATAATGGCTGATTCCTTGAACCTCAGGCCGAAGTGGTCGATCTCAGATGGCCGCTGGGTCAGAGAAAAATAAAATGAAATGAAAAATGTTTTGAACCTTAATGTTTAACATCCACATTGGCACAATTTAAACCTTAAGGAGGAGGGCAACATCGATCATACCGGCCACAGCCAACCCAATCTAATAAGAAACTGCATCCTACCAGAAAGACATAGAAATCTAGATAAAAATAGATGTTTTCCCTAGGGGGAATCGAATTGATGTCTTTTTACCCCAGCTTGACCGTTACTTCGTCATAAACGCAGCTGAACGTTTTGTTTTATTTTATCTCTATATATTATATTTGTGAAAGTTCACACTTTGGTCGTCTAAAACTTCCGGAACTCTTAACTTTCGAATTTGACAAAATTAATGGTCGATCAGAATCTTTTAAAGGGTGCATAGTTATATTAAGGAGTCTGAAGTCACTGTAGTTTAATTTTCTGTTTTTCATTAGTTTCGTTCAAATTTAATCTAGGAAAAGTCCGTCTTCTAAGACGCCATTGTAAACAAATGAGGTTTCCGTTCTCTAGCTGCGTCCACTGATTTCACACCTTTGAAATTATGGAGTGTACAACCAGGAAAACGGAAGAGAGAATCTATCTATACATCTATTAATATATTTGGCAACTTGGAAACACATGTGTCACTTTTCTCTCAAGATTTATTGCTCCATTCCAGTAGAGTGTAAATATAGTAGGTCAATGACTTTCACATGATGATATTAATGCTCCGATCATTCCTTTCATCGAAAGGGGGCCCATCTAGTTTTACTATACTTCATTTCATTTTATTCTATCTTATTTTACCTTTCTGCTGATATGATTTTTTAAAATTTCATCTTATCCATCTTTAAAAGTATGTCTTTCTTTCTTTGTTTTTTTTTTCAAATGTTTTTTTAAAATTGTTTAGAAAAGGGGGGGGGGGGGGCGGAGGGGCAACGGGCCGTACTACAGCTCTATGTCAGATTTTAGCGATGCTTTTTTAGGGTTCAATTTTCCTGGTAATCCTTTTGCGAGGTAAAAAAGCAGGTGGAGAAAGGATGAGGAGATTGGAGTAGAGGGGAAAGATAATAATTATAAATCAGAAAATAAATGGGTTTTCACGCTTCATTTTCAACGTACCAGTCTACCCTCTTTTGGGTCATAAAATCTCTCCAGGAGGCTGATGGTAGTGCTCTTACCACATCCACTGGCGCCAACTAGGGCTACTGTCTGCCCGGGGTCCACGGTCAGGTTTAGTCCTTGTAAGATTGGCACGCTAGGCCGGGTGGGATAGGAGAAGTGGACACCTTTAAACTCTATATTGCTGCCGAACTGTGGAACGAGGCAGAAAGTTTTAGTAAAGTTTAATTCTTTTTGCAGAGTGATGATATGGCAAGGAATATGACATTGAAGAGTTTTATAATATCAATGAGATAACTGTGTTTTTATTGTCCAGGATAAACAGGCAGCTTTCTTATCTTTCAAAATGAAATATATACTTACTTTACTTTTTCCTTTTTCCTTCCTCTGGTATCCTTAGAATGTCGAGGGAAGGTGCTAGTTTCGGTCCTGTGCTAGGTGTGTAGCGTCTGTGATAGATATGGTATGTTGTTCTTGGACCTTTTTAAACCTATCCAGCCAGGTCTTTCTTGGTCTTCCTCTTGATTTGAAGCCGGATTCTCAGGGGTTGTAAGCTCGCGCCGCTAGTTGTTTCTGGGGCATTTTGGTTAGATGTCCAAACCATTTGACTCTTTGACGCTCTATGAATTTTATTTGACGGAGACCCCTCGTTTCGCATGCATTGATTTTTCTTTCTTGTGTCTCGTTTAGAGACCATGTTTGGCACTGGAATGTTAATGTTGGTATGAAGATGCTGTTGATGAACTGGGATTTCACTTCGGTTGGGATGTTCTTGTGGCTATAATATACATGTATCTAATATACATACTAATATACATAGATCTATTATGTGTTCCTTGGTAGAGACTTGCTAACTAACTGATTCTTTTCCATGTGTTCAATAAGATATAAATATGCCAAGGAAGGAATGAAGAATTACCTATTCCTTTGTTAAAATTCACAGGACAAAAACATACATTTCTACGATTCATTATGAGAACTAATTCAACGCACTATTTCACTCGCTCATTTTGATGACAGTAAAAAGATTACTTCTAGGAGTATTGACAATAGCTGATTTCAATTTTCTAACATTCAGACAATAATTGTTGTCATCATTATTCTATCATCCTTACAGTTTATTTGTAATGAAAAAAAGGAGAAATAGATGTGGTATCACATTTACAAAGAGAAGAAACATATTATCTTTACGAGCGACGATGAAACCATCGAATACAAACACACCAAAGATGAAACTGCAGAGTTATCCTCTTAATGATGCTGTTGGCATATATGGTAGTGAAGAGGAGAATGAAAACAGCGACAAAAACAGCAACGACAGTAGCTAAATAACAATAAGAATAACCCAATGAGGGACAGTATTAACAATATCAGCACCAACACCAACATTGCGAACTAGGATATCAAGAACTGCATCACCTCCTTAGGTTGTGCACCTTCTGTTGAGAAGGCATCTATGGTTGGCACAGCATCAGTCAGTTTGAAAATCCGTCTTGCTGCGATCTTGGCTGCTCCAACGCTTGGAAACAGACTCGAGCCCTCTCCCAGATAAGCAGAGCCGTACAGGATGCATACCAATACTCTGTGGTGAAAAATTGGTGAAACTGAACTCATAGCTATTTTCCGGCTTACGTGAATATAATTATATCTATCAAAAATGGATTCTGCTTTCGAAGACACACTTTTTTATTTTCAGTAAAATATAAACGCTAGTCTTTTGCTTCCCTGAATTTGGTTTCGGGGACCCTGATAAGATAACAATAGTAGCACCGATCAAAAGGTATGGATATCGAAGGGTTTGACCAGCTACGCTGTGACATCATTCCACGCTAAGTTGTTGTACAGATTAAAGCAAAGTGTAGATAGTGCACGTGATTTCGAAAATGTTATTATAGAACGCGCAAGCCATGAAATGGGAAACATTTCTTCTCACCATTCTCTTGAATAAAGGCCACTGCTCTCAAGCTATTGTCTTAGAATGCGCACAGTACTCAATCCGTTTCAGCAAAAGTCACAGCTAAGCAAACGTTTTGGGTTCTATTTCCTCACTGAATTTAGCATAGGCTGTTCTGTCCGATAACTCAAAACAATTTTCCAATTTGACCAATGAAAAAATAAATGTACTGAATTGCTGTACTCTCGTATGTGTGTTTTAATTCTGAAGCTATTAGCACGACTACGATGAATACATATATAAATATAATATATTATATTTTATTATACTATATTACATCATATTATGTATATATATATATATATATATATATATATATATATATATATATATATATATATATATATATATATATATATATATATATATATATATATATGTATTTAAGACAAAAAGAATATACATATGCCACTTAAAGTCTAGATCAGGTAGACAGCTTCGTTGACTAATCTCTAATCATTGAAAAAAGATGTCTTCGGCTTTGCTAGAATACTTAACTTCCCTTTGTTGTACAAAAATGATATTATTTTATGATAATAAAGAAAAAGAAAGAATCAGTTCAGTTGTATTTTCCAACTTCATCAGTTTTATCAGAGGCTATTTTAGTTTTATTAATTAATTGTTAAAGACCAAAACGGAATCGGTCGGTGCTAGTTATCCATGTCGAGAATCTCTTGTTTGTGTTTCTGAAATAAATACCCCAATAGGCACATGGTATTCTGTCTTTTCCACGAGCGACCCCTTAACCTTCAGACACTATACTGTGCCGAGACGAAATAATCCAGGTTAGAAGAGATGCATACAAGGACGTCATTTCTAACTTTCAACAGTTTGCGGATTTCAATGTAAATTGTGCAGTTGGCGGTCTCGCTTAGGTATATTTTTCTCAAACTAGAAAATACGGAAAGGAATTATTGGCATTCCCCCTAAAATACATGTACCAACATCTAATAACAGCAACCACCACCCTGCACCCATTACACTTCCCCCTAACCATATGACCCCCCCCCCCCCCCAACAAACCAAAGACAAAAAACACAGGACACACAAACAATTACACATAAAGAAAGCCACGCCAAACAAAGACGAAATAACAATACCAAAAAAAAAAAAAGAGATTTTTAACAAAAGGCATCTACTTTGTAGATGTCTTACATGACAACGTCTTTGAAGTCCATCTCCTTCACCTCTATGAGATAGCCACCATAGATAAACAACACGCCAAGCGTGAAAAAGACACCTCCATTTGCCATGCCGTAGGCAAAACCGCTTTTCAAAGCTGATTTGTGCCTTCTATTGACCATGTCCACTAGTGCATCCGAGTAGGCATTCAGAAACATTTCCTCCCTGCATAAACATGAAACGGTTCGTATGTTCTCCATGCACTCGACAGCAATCTGCATGGAGATCAAAATATTCGAATATTTCATTATTTGCAGAAAATTTTTAAAAAATGTAGAAAGCTTAGAACACTAGGACATTTCATTTAACATTCAAGGCAAAGAAGTTATTAAATACACATACACACACTCTCTCTCTCTCTCTCTCTCTCTCTCTCTCTCTCTCTCTCTCTCTCTCTCTCTCACACACACACACACACACACACACACACACACACACACACACACACACATACATACATACACACACACTCATACACACACATGCACATTATTTAAATAACAAGAGCGTTTGTGTTATACACGCATGCCAGTGAATCAATAGGTTTTTTTTTTAAGTTCTCGTGAGTACGAATCAAGACACCCGCACATTTGACAACAACGTCACATCAATATTACTACTACTACTACTACTACTACTACTACTACTACTACTACTACTACTACTACTACTACTACTACTACTACTACTACTACTACTACTACTACTAAAAGTATAATGACAATGATGATGATGATGATAATGATGATGATGATGATGATGATGATGATGATGATGATGATGATGATGATGATGATGATGATGATGAAGAGGAGAAGGATAAACAAATCTATTTTACCGCTCCAGCTGCTTCTAAAGCCTTGGTGCGACCAGTTGCGTCCCCAGCGGCGACTTTAATTTGGATATAGAAGGACGCCGTAACAAAAGGAATGACACCAAGTGCCACTAAGGTCAGCTGCCACCCGACGATGAAAGAAATGACGAGACCAATGCCAATGTTGCAGAGGAGCTGGATTATGAAGGCAATCTGGGTTCCTGTGGCCTGAACGGGAAAATTATAAGAAATATAAAATGACCACAAAATACGATTTCGTGGTCGTATATACATAATATATACAAAGTCGAACCCTTCATCCGCATCGGGGGAGTAGGAAACAGGACAAAGTAGGGTATAGCTGGGTCTGGTTGAAGTACGGTGTGACTTTATGTCATGCTAGCCGTGAAGACCGACCCGGGTCACCTCGAAAAGTTGCTGGCAAAAGGGGCTCTGGGGAAACCGTGACTGGTCTAGCAAGCCGACGCGGATAAGTTATGCTACAAAAAGAACAAAGGAGAATAAACGGACTGATTCAAACGGGAAAAGACCTGGAAAAGTAAATGGACAGCGAGCTAGAACAACATTATAATATGCACATGGAATGTCAGCAACCTTGGAGACAAAGAACCAGAAATAGTGAATTTCATGGAAAGAAAGAAAATAACAATCATGGGCTTGTCAAACATAAAAGTAAGTGAGGCAACCACAGCAAGTTGACCAATAAAGGCTACCTCCTGATCTGGAGTGGAACACCTAGAAAAGAGAGAGTCAAACATGGTGTAGCTTTCACCAGCCAAAATGAAATACAATCTTTGAAATCAACCACATCTCAGAGAGCATAGTGAGCATAAAACTCATAAAAGGTGGCAAAACAACAATGTACATTCAAACATACGCCCCCTGTAACGACAGCTATACAGAGGAAGATAGACAATCATATTTCCAAGACCTGAGTGACCACATTAATACCCTCAAGAACAAAGAAGATATATTTATCTTGGGAGATTTAAAAAGCAGAGTAAGACAAAGAAAAAACGCTGGGAATAGTACTTGGGACCCCACAGTGATAAAGATACAGATTGCAATAGCAATGGAGAAATGATACTAAACCTATGCGCTGAGCACGACGTGATGATTTACGAACACATTTTTCCAACGCAGACGAAGCCAAATCAAGACCTGGTACATATGGAATTACCTGAATCATGCATCACAAATTGATTTAGTCCTTATGGGCAGAAAACAAAGACATACAGCCATACATTCGAGAGCTGTTCCAAACTGTATCATCGAGACGGACCTGTGTTATTTTCTCTCACAACCAGCAATGTAAAACAATAAAGAACAGGGGAAACCACAACCAACATAAGAACATTTGAAAAAACAGACATCTAGAAGACAATCGAAGATGATATTACCATGGAGTACAATAAGCTGTCATCTGAGACCAAAGACATAGAAGACGAATCCCTGCTAGAAATACTGAAAAACAGTTGTGGCACCAAAAGAATAGGCGGAAATAAAGACAGAGCAACATGATGGTGGAATGACGAAACCAAAGAAGCAATTTAAATGAAAAGGAAGATAGTTAAGACCGAAGAGGACTATATAGAATACAGGAAAGCGAGAAGAGATACCAAAAGAATCATCAAAACTGCTAAAGAAAATGCACGGAAAATATATTGCGAGAAACTGACCAAAATCTACAAAGAAAACCCTTGAAATTTTATTAAAATGTGAACAGCATGCGAGTAAGGAAAGATCCATACAACCCACGACATGCATTATACACGATAAAGAGGGTACCGGTAATGCCATTCTCAACAAGCATGACATTAAGAAAAGATGGGAAAATTACTCAACCCAGATGCTTGCCACGAACACCAAGAAGAGTTCCATCCACCGTATGGGGAACATAGAGAACCACCCATACTTCTCAGTGAAATCGAAAATGCACTCAAAACTTTCCCCAAGAACAAAGCACCAGGGCCAGATGACATCACAGTGGAAGCCATAAGAGCTTGTGGAAATACCGGCATACTGTGGTTAAGGAGAATTTTCAATAGAGCCTGGGAGCAAAGGAAAGGCAAAGAAGACTGGCTCCACAGGGGTCCCACTAAGGAAAAAGAAAGGTAACAAACGGGACTGCACAATGTACAGAGACATCTCTTTATTAAGTCGCATAGGGAAATAAACGCAAGGATACTAGAACAGTGGATAAGACCTATTGTAGAGAGAAATCTGAGCAAAGCTCAGTTTGGATTTCGAAAGGGAAGAGAATGCACGGATCCTGTATTCGCATTAAGACAGATATGCGAGAAAACAATCGAACACAACAAAGAATCCAACACCATCTTTATAGACCAGGAGAAGGCTTTGGACTGAGTAAACCATGCAAAACTCTGGAAGACACTCGAAAGTAGGGCGTCAGAGAACAAATACTAGATAATGTCAGAGCTCTATACACCGAAAGCAAAAGCTCAGTAAGAACGAAGGAAGGCAACACAGACTGGTTCAAAGTAAGATCTGGAGTACGACAGGGATGCATTCCATCTCCCCTCCTGTTTATAATATATATAGACACAATACCGAAACACGCAAACCAAAGCCCAGAAAACTTCTATTTGAAGACGACCAATGTCTTATTCACCCAAACCAACAAAACCTCCAAAATCACACTACCGAACTGAACAACAGCTGTGAAAAATGTAACATGAGAATAAGCAAATCTAAAACAGAAGTTATGAAGGTGAGCCAAAACCGTAGTCCTCTGAATATCCATGTCAATAGTAAACAACTGGAACAGGTGAAGAAGTTTAAATATCTTGGCAGTACTTTTTCTGAAAACGGGTCTATAGACAGAGAAGTAGAAATGCGAACCCAAAAAGCCAAATCTGTCACTTACTAGCTCCCACCCCTCCTTTCTCACCCAAGCATCTCCATAGACACAAAGAGACAGCTTATCACCTCAATATTCATACCAACATTATGCTACAGGTGCCAGACCTGGACATTCAGTAAAACCCCTGAAAGCAAAATCACCGCATGCGAAATGAAATGTCTCTGCAAAACCCATAACATCAAAAGACGAGACAGGCAGAGAAATGAAGAAATAAGAGCAGCTATCGGCATTGAGTCCTGCCTGCGTTACATAGAAAGACAGAGAATAAAATGGTTTGGCCACCTGTTACGTTGGCCACCTGGCCAACCAGCCTCGAGAGTCTACAACACCAAGCACTCAGGCTATAAAGGATGAGGAAGGCCACGCAAAAGGTGGATCGAGGGTGTCAAGGAAACCCTGAGAAAACATAATGTCACAACCGAAAGAGCAGCGAGCTGGCTTACCATAGAAAATTGCATCTCCCCTCAACGCTTAACGGCAACAGAGGATGAAAAAGTAAAAGAAAAAGTAAAAGTAAATACACGTGTGCTACTGTAACGTATGGATCCATTAAATCGGCTAGCAGATTGGCGAAAAGATGGAATGGCGATGATGCATTTGAAACAAGTTTCCCCAATCAACATTGCTGTGGTCGACCAATCACTAAGATAGAACCATAGCATCAGTTGAGAGTAAGTGGTTTCATTAGGACTAATCGGCGTTAAAAACTGAAAAACACAGTGAAAATCATTGGAGTCTGTTTTGAAAGGGCGCGGTACATTATTACTAATTCCTCGACCCATGAGAACGTGTGGCTCTCTGCTTGCGCCCAATTATCATGTATTCCAAAGGGAATTTGTTTATTTGAATCAAAGAAAGTAGAATAAAAACTACTTGTGTATAATAAAATAATACGTTCCAGAAACGTGCGGTAAATACATGTATATTTTTTTTTCAACCTCAGTTGTATGCCCAGAATAAAGGCGCTTGTGTCGGGGAAACGTACTTATCAACCCGTAAGCTTGAGAAAAATATTACTCGAAAAGACTAAACAGGTTTGTCATGTACCTATAATATCAAACTTCAAAGTATGTGGAATCAACAGCTATTCATAAAAATTACGATTCGATTTTTTTTTTTGGTGCTGGACGTACTATAGAAAAACGTAGATAATTTGTTTACTGCCGAATTATAAAAACACACCTTTCATTGCAGGAAAAACTGATTCAGCAAGGTCAAATTTCCTATTTAAAGTCTTATTTCAAATGGGCTGAGCAATAAAAAAAAGTTCAAATCGTCAAACAACGCAGTTACAACAAAATCCACGTAGGTGATTCGAGCCACAGTTGCCTGCAGAAAAGTCAATCATTATTACAACTGTGCTGATGGGCCTCCAGAAAAGTTAATACAATAAAAGCGCCCGTATACTATCATTGATAGAATGTGTTGCAGAGTATAAAAAGAGTACAGGATACACATCTATACACACACACACACACACACACACACACACACACACACACACACACACACACACACACACACACACACGGACACACGCACACACACACACACACATATATATATATATATATATATATATATATATATATATATATATATATATATATAATATGTATATATATATATATATATATATATATTGGTATATATATATGCCTATATATTATACACATATATACACACATAATATATGTATATTATATTATATCTATCTCTCTCTATATATATATATACATGTGTGTGTGTTTGTGTGTGTGAGTGTGTGTGTGTGTGTGTGTGTGTGTGTGTGGGTGTGTGTGTGTGTGTGTGTGTGTGTGTGTGAGTATGTATAATAAAAATAGATAGATGGAGGAGGAGAGACAGAGACAGAGACAGAGAGACAGAGAGAGAGAGAGAGAGAGAGAGAGAGAGAGAGGGGGGGGGAGGGAAAGAGAAAAAAGGAGGGGGAAAGGGGCGATAAGGACACATTTCTTCAAATAATTGTCTTGTTTAATGTACTTACTCCATGTACTAAAGACGCGTCATTTGCCAGTCTGGTAGTCAAGCAACCAGTATTGTTCTCGGGCCTATCGTACCATCCCATTTCCTGAAAATGTCCAGAAAAATACAATACATTTTTAAAGGGATAAGTCATTTATTCTAAATCTGGAACGCGCCCTTGTACATGGGGTTTATTTGATAACGAACAGTTACAAGAACAACATTTATCTCTTCAAAAGAATAATCCCCCCCCAACCCCCCCCCCCCAAAAAAAAATCAACCCTAGTCACCGCCCCTCCCCCCCCTCCTCGAAAAAAACAACAACAAAAAAACACTAGACCAAACAAATCAAACCAAGAAAAGGAGAACATAGTGAAGAAGATTTAAAAAACCAACATTTTTAGAATCTCATCAAAATCGATTTTTGTCTCAGTTAATAACTCATCCTCACATAAAAGTGTAATGTTGAACGACAAGCTAATTTCTCAAAAAACTTCTCCGGTCATTTTCGGTGGCTTTTGTCACAGCACGCTGAAAAGGTTGCGCGTTGACGCCTTGCTTCATAACAGAGGTTCAACAATTACGCCCTCCCCCACCACCCACTTTTTGGCTTTTCACTCGCTCCCCCACACCTGCTATTTTTTAAACTCTAGGTTTGGATCAGAGAAATATTGTCATGCTCATAAGATTATTCCTTTAGTCATTTATGACCAGTTTGGTGTTTTTGGTTTTGAAATGAAGAGCAGAGTCAGTTTGGTAATTTAGTTCATTTGAACTGATGAATAATTCAAATATAAAATTATTTGAGTGTACTAAATTCAGCTTTTTTAAAGTCAATTGTCCGATAAAAACAAACTATTTTCTCATTTTCTCAAAATTGCTATTCAAATATAAAATTATTTGAGTGTACTAAATTCAGCTTTTTTTCAGTCAATTGTCCGATAAAAACAAACTTATTTTCTCATTTTCTCAAAATTGCTGGAAAAGAACTACAAGACATTGATCTTATGAGCTTCGTTATGTTTTTCTTCACAACCATACTGTCCCCCCCCCCCCCCATCCCCAAAAAGTAAATAAAAAAAACAAATAAAAGTAAAATAAAATAAAATGAATAAACGTTAAAATGACAAAACCAAACAGCAGAAACAGCGCCAGCCATGGGTCTACCCACATCCGGGTTCTTACCTGCCGCAGCATAGCTCTGAAAGTCGCAGTCCTGATCCGAAAGGTGAGAGCTTCTCCGGACAGCCCGAACATAAAGCCCTGGTCGAAAAAACCGCACACATTAGACACAAGCGAACAACGAGAAGGTGCAGTATACAGCAAGTATAAAGACCAACAACCCCAAGACAAAAAAGGATCGAATTACACATTTATGTCAACATTAAAATTTGCTTTCACAAGTCCTAGGATGATAAATTTAGTTTTAAATAAATCTAAGAGAAACTGCTTTTTACCTTAGTGTGAACAGATTCGGTTCGAAGATATGAACACCAACAACCATGTGATAATATTCAGAACACAAGACCTCTACGGACAGGGAAGTTCAAGAAAATAGGTAAAATTGATTAGCGATAATATGCTATATATTACGTGCAAAATGCACCGCCCAAAAGGAGAAAAGAAAAGTTAAGATACAAACAAGCCTTACATAAAGTTAAGCAACTTGATTAGCCCGACTAAACTCTACGATATACGTCTGAAGTGCAAACAGGAAACAGTTTCTGAATTAGGTCGTTAATGATAACGCACTATGTACTACACGGACGTACCATGAGAGAGGAAAAGACTAGGTATAAGACACCCAGTCCAACAAATAGCAGTGAGACATCACGTAAGTCATCTCTCATCTCGTCATCCGGTTTCGAGAAGGCCTAAGATTGGCAAAAGATTGGATAAGACACGATGGAAAACTGCAGAGTAGATCACTTACTAAAATATCTGTGCTGTAATAACACTAATGTGAGGCAGCGTGGTGGAACCAGGCTCTCGTCAAAATAATGAAATCGAAGAAAACAGCAGTTTTCTCCCTGCTTAGCAATTTTTATCAATTTTTATTTTTTTGGCTCAACACCTTTTATGTCCATTTACGAACACATGCCTTTGAGTTCCTTTGAGGATTAAACCGAAAACGTTGATTAAAGGCACAAAAATGAAAATTTACAGTTTCCACGGACTCTCCAGCTTTGGAATTTACCAAGCTTTGGCGGCCGTTTTCTCGCTAATTTTACCTCTTAAATCAGGTGACCCCAAACCTCCTTCAATCCAAAATATCTCCACTTCTATTAAAGATGGATGGGTAATG